TTCTCTCTTTGGAGGGGGAAGCGAGCTGGTGGGGAGGGGTGGGCAGGGAGAAAAGTGCAGCAATGAATGAATGGAAATCCAAAACCTCTGTAACAAAAAAGAAAATAAAAAAAAAGAAAGTCAGTAGCTGCTATTTTCCCCACACTCAAGCTCTCTTGGCTTTTCTAGGTCCTTTTTATTATCCTTGCCAGGATGTTTGCAGCTTTTCATTTGCTGCTTCCTGGAGGTCCACAATACTGTTGATGTTTTCTTGGGCTACTGCAACCGGTGATAACAGAAAAGTAACCTATAGAACCTCTGTGTTGTTGTGTACCCCTGACTCTGAATCGATCTCTCAGGTGGGTTCAAAGAGACTTAGTCACACCAGAGCACATTGTCCATTCTAAACCACCTGCCTTCAGGATTGTAGGGCAGTTTCTTGCCACTGCCACATCAGAGCTCCCAAAAAACCCAATAATACCTGGAAATGAAACATTTTATACAGGCAGCAAGGACTCTCTCTTGTGAGAAAAAGATAGATACATTGAAGACAAACCTCTCAAGCAAAGGATACAAAGTTAAAACTCTTACCATCTCATTCTTACATGTACTAATTAAATTTATAAATGATATATTCAAAAGAATTAGGTAGCTTTCTAAAAAAAATTAAAAAAAAAAAAAGAATTAGGTAGCTTTCTTTTAGTCACTCATTAAAGAATTCCTTAAAGAAGAATTTTTCTTAATTTACCGCGTAATTTAGCATTGTTTCCTTATCCAAATAAAAACTTACCCTTTTTTTTTTTTTGGCCAGTCTAATCCTATATTCGAAAGTTAAAAATGGAAATGCTTTACCCTTGAACTATGACGACAACCACTATTAGACTAATTAGTTAAGTGGAGAAAATCTCACATTCACCATCTTTCTTTTTCCTTATATAAGCCCCAGATGGAAGAATAGATTTCACGGGTTCGCACCTCTGTCTCCCAATAAAAAGTACTATAAACAGAAATAAAATGTTCCCTGGTGTGAAGTGAGAACAGACTCCTGGAGGAGAATTAGAACAGATTTCCTTGGTCTCCCTTATGTGGTTGCACCATGCAGAGGGGTCATAAGATACTCACAGGGGACCCTGCAGGGGGTTTTCAGAGGCCGTGACATCGCACAGGAGATTACCCGTGCTTCTGGGAGGCACCTGGTCGAATCGAAACCTGTGCCTTGGAGATCTCAGCTCATCACCTTTTCACCATTAGGCCACCGGACATCCCTTCCAGTCTTTCCAAGTATAAAGCTGCACGTTCTTGAGTGAAATCTGTGTTGCAAACGTTTTGAAATGCCAGCTTCCTCCCGACAGGCAGTATTTCTTGTCCAGGAAAGCCCAGAAGAATTTCTTCCCCTCATAGGGTCCTTTGTTTCTATCCATGTCAATGTCATATTTTCCTTCCTGGTTGGAAAATCAGCTGAGTCCAAAGCACTTGGCAAACGAAACCAGTCGCTGCCATGAGAAAGGATTTTTTTAAATTAATTTTTATGAGCATTTACAGAGAGTTTGGGTTTCCATTCATTTTTTTTGTTGTACTATTTTGTCTACTCTCACCCCAAGTTCATTCACAGCTCTAGTTAGCTTGGCTCCAGTAGCCAGGAAATCAGAAACGTTTTGTGATGGGAAAGTCTGCTGTCAGGGACCTCTCCAGGGTACTGAAGAGCAACAGTGTCTCTCTGGAGACTAAGGTGCATCTGATTCAGGTCCTTTTTCCCCCCCTTGAAAGTCTGTTTTAATTGTCCAATTGCCACAGTGCTTGTCGAAGCCAGTTCTGATTAATCTTCTTTGTCAGTGTGTCCTTTGCCATTCCCTATCACTCCTCCCTCAGAGAGACTTCACCCTGTCATAAGGAAAAGGGGACGGCGTATTCTCTTAGCTACTTCCTGCTGAAAAGGGACGCTGTAGGTTTCAAGGATGAGAGAGGATTCTGTGGTTGCCATGATTTCTTATTATGATGTCACGGCTCCTGCCAGAACTGGCCACATGCCTGGGGGGGTGTGTTTCTTCCTCCTCACGCGGCGTAAGATTTGAAGGCGAGAGGCCAGCCCTGATGTTCTTGTTGCTTTTCTATGCCTGTCTATTGCTAATCTGAAGATGAGACACAAAGGTGGAATTGATCTTTTGAAAAATAAGTTTAAAAGTTATATTGGTTTGCATCCAGAAGGTGTATATATACATGGTGTTTTCCGCATCCCTCCTCTCATGGGTTTGAGACCCGCATTCTCATCTGTCGTGTTTTATAAAATGAAAACCATGAAATCATGCCCGCCCGCCACCGCACTGCCTTTTCAAGTCCCCACTGGATCTTTCCCAGTTCATTTCATCGCCTTGCTCTGCCCACCAGATTCTGGGACCTCGAGATTTCTGCACCCCTGAACCCTCAGCTTCCTTCCTCCATTTCCTGCTTTCCACGTTGCTACACATCTTACGACTAAGCCTTCTCTTTGTACCACACTATGTTTCTCTGGAAAGATGAGTCTCAATCTGTTTTTAAAAGAGAATAATTTTGTACTGGCGTGCGCATACTTTGAGCGAACCATCTCTGTCTCCTAAGGAGAAAATACTAGAAAGTGGCTGTGGCTCGTGCAGACTCTCTGGGTTCTCTTTTACACATGTATTCTGCACAGTAATGTCAGAAGGGGTTTGAAGTCCCTCTCACTTGTTGGTACGAATAAATGTGCCTGTTTTCTGTTCTTAATAAAAATACTCAACAAACCTGAAATCAGAGGGCTCAGTTGTACAGAAGATTTTCAGTGACATTTAACGAGGGGACCAATTCTTCTTCCTAGTCTGCCTAAATTTGAATACCTTGAACAATATCTGAGAGACAAACATTTGACCAAAAGGGCAAAAAAAAAGGCCCTTCCCCTTACAGATATAATGAATACATTCAGTGTCGCCCCCCCAGTCCTCTGGGCTTGTCTCTTTTCCCTTCTAATCAGCTCTGCACCCCTTGCCCTGCCACCCAGGATCTCCCCGTCTCCCCCGCCGCCAGTCACCCCTTGATTTGATGTCTTAAGCTACAAGTGACTGTTAGATGATGTCTTCTGTCTTGCCCTGCTTCTGATCTCTCTTGCTGATGCTTGTCTCATTGTTAGGAGGATTGACATCTAAATATCATATACTAGCTTTAGGGAAGGAATTTTTAACCCTTTGATAGTCCTAGGCATTAGGCCGTGAAAATGAACAAATCTGTCTTGGAGAGAATGAAAGCAGGTTCCTCCTTGGAGGCTGGGATTTGGAAGCTCTGTCTCACAGACTTGGGCGCCAGGAGGGATGGACTCTTGGAGAAGGACATGATGCTGCAAACATTGCAGGGACAACGCCCGAGCGGGAAACCCTGGATGAGGTGGACTTAGGACACAGTGACTAGGGCAGTGTGAGAGCACGTGTGTCGGAGTCAGTGACACTGGCTCAGGACAAGATAGGCTGCGGAGCTCTTGTCCAGAGGGTCTCTACGAGTCCCAGGCAACCGGACGCAGCACCTAACGACGACGACAAAATTAGAGTCTCTGTCACACTGTCACCCTGATTGCTTTGTGTTCTCAAGATTGCTTGGCACTTGGTGTTGTTTCCAGTAGGATCCCACATGGACTCAGAAGTGTGTGTGCGTGTGGGTCTGTGTGTGTGTGAGACAGAGAATTTAATTTCTTTTTTCTTCACAATGTGTATTTGAAGCTTTTTTCCTTTCTCATAAACAAGGCTTATATGCAAGGTTGCTCAGTCCCAGCTATGCACAGCTTGGAGCTGACGTCCTTGAGAGGCCCTATCTTGAAGGAAAAGGATCCTTTGAAGCAAAAAAGAGAGGTGGTTTTTCTTGGACTCAGTCATGAAATGAAGACCAGAAAGTGTGCAGTCAGGAATGCTGCCTGTCAGAGCTCACGTGGCCGCCTGTATGATCTAAAAGAATGACGAGGCTTTCCTCTTAGGATGAAACAAGAAGTTTTAAGATGGCATCTGACCTTTATCAGGGCTCAGGCGTCCACAGCCAAGCAGGACTTGGTGCAAATTATCGCAACTCTGTGCTTGAACCTCACACACACAGATCTGAACCCTGTGTGTGTGTGTGTGTTTTTAATAATTTTAATGAATGAACCCTGTCTTCTCCTGTGCACCCCCTCACTGTCTCTGACACTCCAACGCATTGCTGCTGTCGCTGTTTAAGGCCACCTGGTTGAAGAGCTTCCTCTTTTCCTCTGTCCTTTCAAGGATAATGTCCCTCTCCAAGGAATAACCTGTTCTAGGAACATGCGTGTGACACAAAGCTTAGCCTCCAAGGCACACTCTGCCTGCACTCTTTCCAGGACATACTTGTTGGTTCTCTTGGCGGTCCTTGGGACAGCCAGTACTCTTCTCCAGCACCACAGCTCAAACGCATATCCATCCCTGATCTGTCATCCTGAGTCTTTGTCTAGCTGCCAGGTCAGTAATAGCACGTGATTGCAAAGACCATGGCCTGAGTCAGAATCACCAGAGTCCTCAAAGACGACGTCACTGGGTCCTCCGTCATTTGGAGAGATCCCAGACTGCCGACTTTTCCATTGTAATACATCTTTCTGAACTCCTGGCAGCTGCTACCGAATGTATTGATTGTGGACGCAAATCAGACAAAGTCTTTGGCAGTTGAGACAGACAGGCATTGAGTCCTTCACGACAAATTCTTCGTAAGAGGCTTTGAATGTGCCATGCAAGATTTATCCTGAGTGGTGGTATTTTTGATAGTCTCATAGGGGATACTTTTGGACTTGCATCTAGAGACGTCCTCTCTGTCCTAAGTCCTATCCCTGGACATGTGCCAGGAATACCTGACAGTGGCTTCTTCTAAGAAGAAACTTGTTCTCACATAGTTTGGACATGTTTCCCTGAGAGGTTTGGAGAGGGTCATCATGCTCAGAAAGGTGCAGGGATGGCAGGAGAGAAGAAGACCTTCCCCCAGGTGGGG